AAAGGTGATCGTGGGGCCCCGGCCTGACGCCAGCCTGCCACCACCCCTTTAGTACCGGTTCGTGCCACAAACCGGTACTAAAGGTTCAACACGAACCGGCATTAATGCAAATCCGTTCGAACCGGCACTAATGGCACCATTAGTACCGGGCCAAAATCAAACCGGCACTAATGTGCTTCACGTTTGATCCTTTTTCTACTAGTGGTGCTGCAGGCGAGCCCAATCTGGGCTCACGCGGGCCTGCAGCCGCTCTGCTTGGTGGTGGTGCGGATCTCCTCTTCCTCGATGACGTGATGGCCTGCACGCGGTGGATCTGGCCGTCGCTGTTGCGGCCCGGTAGGCGTGGACCCGCGTTTTCCGGTGTCCAGCTTGCCGGCGCTCCCATAGCAGCTTCGACCCCGGTGTCCCACAAGCTGCGTTCTTTCCGTCTTATTGGGCTCGTCGACGTTTTGGCGGCTCCGACCCTGGCGCTCTTGAAGCTGCGCTCTTTTCCGGCTTCCTGGGCTTGTCGGGCGTCGGCGTTTTGGCAGCTTCGGTCTTCTCGGTCCAGATCTGTGTATCTCCAGATCTTGGCTCGTCGTCGTGCCGGCTGCTGTCGCCTCCCGTGTGCTGGTTCTCTACGCCTTATCGCCGTCTCTTCATCCCCGACCGCCACACCTTGCATCGCCCCTCCTTCACCAGAACCAATGCTCGCGCTTCCGGCGGCTCCCATTGCCACTTAGGTAGTGGGCATGGCTCCCCTTCCAGCGATGGCGGCCCCAGCTTACGACATGTTCTCATCTTCGGATTCTATCCTGACGGCCATGGGATTGTTCGGACATTGGCCAGGGCGAAATCCCTGCATGGCTTGCTGATTGTGGCAGCAGCGACACCTGCGGGTGCCGTTACCTTCCTGGAGGCGCTGCCACGGCCTTTTCTCCGTTCCCCTGCTCGAGCTCCGGGGGAAACCCCAGGTCCAGTTCCTTGGACCGGACGACGGCGACGTCATGACATTGTTCCCCTTCATGAAGGCGTCGTCTTGCTTGCTCGTGGCGTGTTTGGCACTGGATTCTGAGTTTCGGGACATCATATCTTGGTTTGGGCTGTTTCGCTTGGATAGGGTAGTTTAGCGCTGTGTTGTAGCTTCTGTTTGGGCCGAGCAACCCATGTCTCTCTGCTCCGGATACCATGTGTACGCCTTGTTTGGTTCTCTCATGCGATGTACCCCTCCCCCTATGTTCACATTTCAACTTCCTCTATCAATGAAAAGATACGCAAGCTTTGCGTATTCGCGAAAAAATCTCCTGCCGTTTCTTCCTTTTAGATAAAAACCTCCACTTAAATTTCATTTGTTGAGGCCGAGAACAGATCTTAAATATATTTTCAGCTATATCACCCAGGTTTTTCTTAGTTGTAGCTGATACTACTATCTTTGTCATCTCTGTGAGTAAAATCACCACTCTGCCACTCGTACCAAGCGTCAAATATTTACTGAGTTCAATGTTCTGCAAATCAAGATGAAGTCGTGCACTCCTACATAAGTATATTTATATCTTGACATGTTTGCGTTCATTTTCTTCAGTTAAGCATTTTGTGGCAATCAGAAAGATTTCTACATTGTCAAATTGGAACTAACTTACTACTTGTTTTACTTTTGTTAGCAAGGTTACATAAGTGTTCTTGTTCATCATATATATACATTAAAAATTATGACACATCAAGTAGCCCACTGTCCGATGTAGAACATGGTTTATAGCGTATTTTTATTTCTCAGGTCCACTTCATTTGTATAAATAGAAAGTTTCGCAGTGTAACTGTTAAGAGGCATATTGGTCCTAACAATATATCACTAACGCCCTCTGTGCTAGTAGGCAATT